AAGGGGAAGCAAGGGCTCTCTCAAGTTGTAAAGGTATCGGCCTACTCGGGTACTATTCAGGGCCCATGGTTCCCCTCTTTCCTGCTGGTCATCTTACCAGCCAGCATCAGAGAGCGTGAAATGCAATTCAGGTCAGCACTTGGAAGTGGCCAGAGCCCAGGGTGAGCCGAGGAAGAGGTTTCACCAGTTTGCTAAAATAAGGTTGGCGTTATCTATGGGTTTCAATTAGCCAAGAGAGCAGGTCACTCAGTTACCATGAATAATCGAGAGGGGGTGTAGAGCCCAAGGTCAATGATACTTTGTGCCCAAACTACTTTCCCACGGAGGACACCCAGCCTGCCCATTGCTTCGGGGAGACACAGCCGCCACTCCCTACACCTCCTGGAAAGATCATCACCAGGGTGAACGTCTGCCACGCTGCACTGAAACAGCCACGGCGTGCGGCACGCTCTCATTGAACCCAGCCTGTGCTGGTGACTCACCACCTGCAGAGAAAATTTAGGGTTGTATCCTCTTCGTGGGCACCGTTCAGCACTGCTGTGCCGACTCAACGCACCCTTTGAAGTCTGTGGGACCTTCGAATCAGTGAACCCTAAGAACCCAGCCCTAGGTGCCAATTTCCATCACTCACAAGTGCTTCAAAAAGACGAAGCTGCGAAGGAAGTTCAAAAAGATCGTGCCCACAACTGCAGCGTGCAATCTCAGAAATTACAGGTGCTGCCTTGTCACACACAATACACTTAGCAGGTGCTTCTGCCAGACGCCTCCTTCTCGCCAAGAAATCCCTGCTGAGGATTAATGGGAATTTCCAGTTCTCTGAGCATCTCTTGCTCCTCAGAGCTATTACCCCCAAATTTCTTAGCACTTAAAAAAAAATACAGGATTTAGCACCTGTTTGTTTCAGCAATCCTTGCTAAAAACAGATCTGCCAAAAGACCACCTCTAAAATTAGTCATATTTCCTGCTCCAAAAAACATAGTAAATGGTATTTTTAGTAACTCCTTTACTCCAGGTATCTGGCACTGTCGTGCTCAAAGTCTAATTACCGGCAACTTACTAAGCAGGCAACTCTGATTTTTAGCCCAAAAATAGCTCCAACGAAAGCAATTATCAGGGTTTTTTTTCTTTTTAACCAAGGGTTAGAACAAGATATTTAAACATGTTAACCAATCATTTCATGCACCCAACTCTGTATCTTAGGGAGACTTAATCACAAAAGAAGGGAATTGAGGCATCAACTCTTTTCCCTTTTGCAGATTGTCTGCCTATGAAACCAGCTCTATTCCTGAGATATACCTGTTTTCTCTCTATGCCTTCCCAACTATATTTTATCAATTTTTTAAAAAATATAATAAAAACCTATTACGTGCCAAAGACTCTGCACTTCATAGGTACCAGGGGCAGCAAGCGCAACCTCTCCAGGTCTTTCAAAGTCATTACTCGATACTCCTGCTCAGCCACTCTGCTTTGTCTCAAAGCCACAGAGCATGATACTTTTCCAAATCTGATTCTGTGATTATTTTTCCTTGTCCAATCATCAACTCACCTTTAGTTAGACACTCTGCCCAACTGAGAACGTACCAATTAAGAATTTCACAGGACCAAGTGAACAAGTTATTTTTAAAGCCACATTAACAGAGATTGCATCCACTCCCAGCTAAGGGAGGACAAAATTAGGTCTTGCCCAAAGCCATTCTGTCTTTTCAAGCAGTAAAAGGGCCATCTAGATTCAAATGACTTTCAAACAAACAGCTTCAGAGGAAAGGCAGGCAAAACACCGTCCTGCTGGCAGTGGTGGGAAGAGAAGCTTCTTGATAAGATAGGATTGAAGCCTGAAACGAAAGACAAGAAAAAGTGGCTCCTTTTGTCATCTGGACTCAGACAGTGATTCCCGACAAGCCATGGAGGATTTCGCCCAAATCTTTTTGGAAAGATGCACCAAGTCAAAACACAACACACACACACACACACACACACACACACACCCCAAGTGTCCTTAACCAGCAATACTCTGGATCTTGGCATAAATCACCCAAAACAAAGTGCGTAGTTTGCAACTGCAACAGTGAAGCAGGCCAAATGTGTTACCCCTCTTCTCCCCTTTCTCCAACCCCCTTTCAACTTTTTCATGAACCGACTGCCGACCACAAGCTGCCCCAGATCCTTCCAGGCAGGGGGTGATGTGGGGGCATACATCTCTTTCTTGCTACAGTATTCATGACTTAATTCCCCTCCTGCTATGGTCTGTGTCCTTTAAAAAATAAAAGAAATGAGAAAAGTGAAGTGCTTTACTAAAAAGTACGCACCCCCCAAAAGGGGGAAGTATTTGGCTGGGAGGCCTCCCCGGGGCCACTCACATCCCCCACTATGGGGGACAATTCATTTCCCTTTTGCTCTGTCACCTCAAGGTCTCCCTTGCTCGGCTCACATGAGTAACCCCTCTCCAGGGGAAAATCCTCTTAACAGCTCACCTTTCAAAGAGACCACAATGCTGCAAACAGCGGGAGGTTGACCTGACCTTTGTTTTGGCCTTAGTAAGACAATTTCCAGAACTTGAATGGGATGGGGACTTACGAACTCAGCAATTGTTCCCAGGCAGAGTCATCATGCATACACAAACACACACACACATTTTAATCCCTACATCTGCCAAAACCCAAAACTATTAGTTAAGCATTAAAGGTACTGGCTTTGGGAGATAAAAGCTATGAACGACACCCATTGTTGCTTCAAAGCTGGCAATCAGGTGAACTAAGATCCAGATTTCTCACGATGCTGACAGTCACCGGTCACTAGCTGGAGAAGAGCACACCAGAAAAATCTCCGGACCTCCTCTTCCACCCCGAGAACGACCGTCCTTAACTAGTGCCGATCAATTAATCCAGCGCAATAATTTTACATGCAATTAATAGTTGCTCCCATTGCTAAGATGAACTGCGAGTTATCACTGAAGAAAGATAAGATGGGAGGGAAAGGGGTGTGAGCATCTAGGGGTGCAGGGGGCTCCTCATCTGGACCTCATTTGGGCAGGAACTCCCTCATTCCAGTAAGCCCTGTGGGCCCAGCACAGAGCTCCAGAACGCAGGCACCCGGCTAGGGACTGAGCTCTGAGTGCGTCCTGCGGCAGTCAGCCAAGGCTAACAGCCTTATGTTACGGGGCAAAAACGCACCGGCGACGGGCAGAGTCACAACCCGGCACGGGAACGTGGAGGGAAGCCAGACGCCGGCGAGCGTCAGGGCCAGGGAGACGAATGTGCTCCTAATGTTGGCCATCATGCTGTCAGCATAAAGCCTCGTCCCTTTTTGCTGACTCTCAAGACGGAACACACACAACCAGATTGGATCCTACATATTTCGAATGAAAATCAAGTTATGCCATACGTGCCAAGGGGAACTGACACAGGCACACGGGAGCGAGCGCGCCGTAATTAGCGCCCAGACCCGACGCGTAAGTGGGACAGCCCTCTGCGAACCGAGGAGTCAAGTGTGCCGTGCTCCCTCTGGACTAGAACGAGATTGGAGGGTTTTTTCCTTCTTCTCTGAAGAGTTACTCAATTCAGTGAGTTCATCCCGAACACTCCCTTTTTGCATGAAAATGTTCAAGCAAGAGACACTTTTAAAACTACTCACTCTACCTCCACTTACCCAAAACAAAGGGGCACCCCACCCAGAGCGGCTGTAGGAATACAGGACAAATGACAGAGGGGTGGAGACCTGCACTCAAATGCACGGGGCTCCAGGACACAGTGGGGACCGAGGAGAGAGACTAAAGCTAGGTGAGGCTGAGGATGGGCGGGCAGGGCAAACTGCCCTGTAATCAGAGGGCCCCCAGCAGAGCATTCCCGGGAACTCCCACGCTGGGCGGAGGACCCCAGCTCAGAGGGTGGCAGGCGAGGCAGGAAGCCCTGTCCCTCTCATATTGATGGTGCTCCCTTGGTCAGTGGGCCATAAAAAGGGGCTACCACCCCGCCTGTGCTGAGCTACCCACAGGCGGGGGCCATTTGCCCACTGAGAGAGAGCCCCCTGTCCGGCTTGTGGGGGGGGGGGGGGGGCGGGGGGGGGGCCTTGTGTCTGAGATGACCGTGAGCCTGGGGCGGCCCCAGTCTGAAGTAGCTCCAGGCTCCACAGCCCGACCGCCTGGGGTGACCCATTTCTTCTCACAGATCTAAGTTACAACTTAGATCTTCCTGGGCCTCCCCTGGCAAAACTTCACGATCATCTAACTTCTCACAAGGCTGGAGAGGGTGCCCCTCCAGGTCTCTGGGGGTCTTCCTTTCCTTTCCCCTCCTCTACAAAAATTAAGAAGGCATCTCCCAACCTCTGAAGTCGGGGGGGTACCTGCCACAGCAGGGTGATTACTGCAGCTTCCACCCAGGACATGGAGGGGGGGATGGAGGGAAGGGGGAAAGGGGGGAGGATGAAAAAACCCTCCTCGGGCATGAAAACCTTTCCTAGCTACCCCAGTCCACAGGTGGAGACGAAAGTTCCTGGGGTCTCAGCCTTCCTCCACCTCCTCCCCAGAGCCCAGGAGTGGGGTCAGACTCTAAGCTCCCCCAAGGGCTGGCTAATACGCTCTCGCACCCTTAAGGGCCCACGCACTCCAGCGCGGGTTCCTGCCTCTCCACTCATCTGCGGCCCCCACCCTCTGCGAGAGCAAAGCCCCCCACCCCACCCCGCGCTGGTGTCCGCCAGGCGGCGCCCTTCCAAAAGCATACAGGCTGCGGGCGGCTTCGCGGGTAAACTAGCCTCCCCCCGGGGAAACTGACCCCAGACCGCCCCTCGGGAAAGGCCGAGAACCCGGCTGCGAGGGCCTGGGCGCGCGCTGGGCTCGACTCCTCTTTCAACCCGAAAGGAAAGGCAGGCGGAGCGGGGTGGGGGGGGGCTCCCGGCCAGGACGATGCAGCCGGACTCCCAGTGCAGTGCTCTCCGGAGGGTCCCCGCTAACCCTTCCCGCCCGGATCTCCCGACCCCAGCCCGGGGGCCGGCGCCCGGCGGCTCACCTTCTCTCCGGTCAGCACGTGCAGCCCCTCGCGCACCTTGGCGAAGGAGCCCTCGCCCAGCTTCCTGCTGCCGATGAGGTAGTTGCCCACGCGCTTGTGGTGCTGGAAGTCGCGGAGCCGCTCGCGGGGCACGCCGCTCACCCAGGCCGGCAGGAAACTTCCCTCGCAGGCCGCCGCCGGCCTGGCCGCGTCCTCGGCGCCGCCGCCGCCC